ACTGAAGAAAGACATCTGGGTTCTCAATAGAATAGCTTGATATTTAGTAACACTTTCTCCAGTCATCCATAAATGTCCCTTGAGTTCTAACAGAGCCTTAAACTTGTGTGAGTTCAGAACTAAGAGCATTTGTCCCTAGCTTATTATAGAACCTTCCCTAAGAGTCCCAAAGTGGCTGTTGCTCACAAGCAGCTACGCCAGCCTCATGTAATCGCTTGGAAAAGTAGACCACTGATCAGTTTTCCAGGCCCAGACGCTGAGTCACACTCCCAAAACTACTCCCTAGAAACTACTCAGCCAGAGAGAAAAAAGTTCAGTCAAGTCTTCAAATCCTAATGCTGGGGCCTGAGGCTTTTTGAGTAGCTTCTGTCCATTTTAAGGGTTTAGGTTCCAGGCCTTGAGTTGCCTCGTATAGAGGTTTATTACGCCAAAATAAGGTATCCATATGTGGCAGAAGACTGCCAGTCCTAAGAAAGCCCTCATCTGCTGTTTAGATTCTAGAGGACTCTGATAGCAAACCTGGCTCTTTTTCTTTGGGACACTTGTATTCGTCCTGGAGTTAAAATATATCCCAGATATGTCCCTTTTTGTTGAGAAATCTGTACCTTATTTTGGGATACCTTGTAACCTCTTTTTTGCTAGGAAAGTGAATTTTAATTTTGTCAGATAATACCTTAGTGGGATTACAAATGAGTTTAACTATGTACCATAATAGGCCTCCCTTTTAGAACTTGAAATTTCTCAGGTCTTGATCTAAAGCCTGTGCAGACAAGTGGTGCCAGTTTTTATGTCCACTCACCCTTCTCCCAAATAACCAACAGATGGACTATAAGATTGCAAAAACATCACCCAGAATTGTGCCAGGTGCCTCAATTTGAGGGACTGGACTTGGACAGGAATAGCTGGCACATGATTCATGGTGACAGCTTTTTCATAAAGGATGGCATTAGCCAGGCAAGATAAACCATGGTCAGCCCTACCCAGGTCACTGAAGCAAGAAGATCCCCCCCTAGGACGTCTGCCTGAAAGACAGGACATATCACCCCCACTTGGGCTCTCCAACTTGCCCAGGGCAAGACAGTAAATATATACATTGACTCCAAATTTTCCTTTCTGGTCATAATGTACATGCAGCCATGTGGAAAAAAGAAAGATTTTAACTAGTCACCAGTCTCTAAAATACATGGACTAGAGATGTTCAATCTCCTTTACACAGTAAATATTCCAAGTGAGGTAGCAGTTGTCCATTGGTGGGGATATTAAACCTCCTTGGGCCCATTATCCCATAAAACTTCTAAGGCACATTTCATTGCTAAATTGCTACTTTCTGAAATAATTCTGTCCCATCAATACCTTTCCCCCTGGTCTCATTCCAGGTCTTAGGTTAGAGACAAGATATTCTATAGAAAAGCTTCAAGCTATTCATAATGAGGGAGTAGTTCAAAAAGTCAATGTTGGTATGTGGGACCTTGACTGTTGTCTTGACAAGTGCAGTGTGAAATCATCAAGTGCCTACATGATGCCTTCCTCTATTGGCTGAATTCTATAACATTGTAAACTAGGTCTTAAAGACATATCCTGTCTGTGCCCTCTGTAATAGCCAGACTTATCCTTCCCCATTGCCTGAACCAGTACAAAGGCATGAGTTTCCCTGGGAAAGACTGCAAATAGACTTCACCCATATGCCTACATGTAAAGGGTATACCAACTTCCTGGAATTCATTGACACCTTTATTGGGTGTACAGAAGCCTTTCCTACCAGGTCACAATGGGCCTTGGGAGTGATAAAAATTCTCCTTAAAAAAGGAATACCTAGTTTCAGACTGCCTAGGCCTTTCCAGAGTGATGATGGACCCTACTTCACATCTCAAGTCACCCAAGGGGTCACCAAAGCACCAGGGATTGTGTACCATCGCCACACTGTGTGGAAACCCTGGTCATCAACATCTTCAATATTTTCATTACAAGAGACAATAAAAATTTGTGATGATTTCAGTAGAAAATAAATGAGGGCAAGATGCCATAGAAATATAAAAGGGATATGAAAAAGGGATCATGGTACAATGCTAGGCCCTAGGGCACTAGGATTAAGGGTGTGAGTGCTACCCATGCTAAATAGTCTGAATAAGATAAACAGGGCAGAAAGGTACTGTTAAGGTCTCTCGTTGCTTTGCTACTATCTGCCATGAACTGTTGCTCCTCTGCCACCTGACCTTGAAGCCACTCAATTATGGACTGAAATCTCTGCCAAATGTAAGTCAAATAAATCTTTCCTCCTTTAACTTTGGGTGTTGGGTATTTTACCTCTGCAATGAGAGAAAATTAACTAGCTTATAGACTGCTGGAAGATACACGAAGCCTCATGCAGCCCATTGCACTGCTCAACATACAATATAACCTCTTATAATGGTTTCTGTGTTCTGAATGTCATTAACCCAAAATACATGTTTTAGATCCTAATTCCGAAGGTGATGGTATGAGATGGGGTCTCTGGAAATTATTTGTGTCATCAGTTAAGAACCGTCAATAATGACATAATAAATGTAAAAAAGCCAGACACCCACCTCATCTTTGACATAGGAGCCAACCACCCTCGTTGGAGGAAAGATAGCCTATTTAATAAATGGTGTTGGAAAACTGGATTTCAACCTGTCAGAGATTAAAACTAGACCCATATCTATTACCATGCACTAAATTAAGATCGAAGTGGATTAAAGATCTAAATATTAAGACAGAAACACTAAACTTGCTGGAAGGTAAGTTAGGTAGAACTCTTGAAGATATTGGCATAGGAAAAGACTTTATGAACAAAACCTCAGTAGCACAAGAACTAGCAGAAAGAATCAACAACTGGGATTTCATCTTATTAAAAAGCTTCTGCACTGCAAGAGAAACTACCAACAGAGCTAACAGACATCCTACAACGTGGGAAAAAAATTTTAGCAGCTGTAACTCAGACAAAGGGCTACTATCTAGACTATGTAAAGAACTGAAAAAAATCAGACCCCCCAAATTCAAAGACCCAATTCAAAAATGGGCATCTGAAATGAACAGACATTTCTCAAAGAAGTAAAAGCAGCAAGTAAACATATGAAAAAATGTTCAACATCTCTGGTCATTCGAGAGATGCAGATGAAAACAACACTGAGATTCCACCTCACCCCAGAAAGAATGGCTGCTATCAAGAAATCAACCAATAACAAATGCTGGCGGGGGTGTGGAGAGAAAGGAACCCTTCTCCATTGTTGGTGGGAGTGTAGACTGGTGCAGCCACTGGGGAAATCAGTATGGAGATACCTCAAAGAACTAGGGCTAGAGGTCCCATTTGACCCAGCTATTCCCCTGATGGGTATCTTCCCCAAAGAATTAAAAGAATCATACCACAGAGATATATGTGTACCCATGTTTATTGCAGCACTGTTTGTAATAGCTAAAGCTTGGAAACAGCCCAAGTCCCCATCAACTGGAAACTGGATAAAGATGTGGGCTTTTTGGTAAAATGGAGTACTACTCAGCCATAAAGAATGAGAAACTAGAGTCATTTATAGCTAAATGGATGCATATTGAGGCCATACTCTTAAGTGAAATAAATAAGACACACATGTAAATACCAAAGTTTCTCTAGTGTGAGAAATTGAGAGTGTAAATAAGGATTAAAAGGATTAATAACTAATAATTGATACTTTGAAATAGGAAAAGGTCCAAAGGGGTAGGGGTAGTGGAAGAAGATGGGGAGAGAATGGAAAGGAAAAATTATGAGAAAAGAAAAAAAAATGGAAATGAAGTATGTAAATAGGGAAGGGTTTAGGGGTGAAGGGCACATAGGTAATGGGGAAAAAATAAGAACCAAGATACATCATGTACAGGTATGAGGACCCAGTGATAAATGTAAATGTACTGTATAACTAAAATGTACCAATAAAAGAATTTAAACAAACAAACAAAAAAGCTGGACACCTTGGACACCTTCCTGCCTTGTGAGAACTTGGTTAAAAGTCGCATGTAAACAATGTTTCATTAGGATGCTGGATTTCCTAGGCTTCACAACTCTAAATAAATAAATATTTCATAAAGTGAATGACCCTAAGGTATTTTAATTAGGCCCACTACAATGCACTAAGACAGGATCTATAAATATATTTTGGTGAATGGTATGGTATACCAACAACCATGGTGGGATCCAGATACCCAAAAATACGTATTTCCATTTCCTAATGTAACCTGACAGATGCACATGTGCTGCTGCATGTGTATGCCTACTTCCTCTCACTCAAAATCACATAATCACTGTCATGGCTAACCAGTGGGAGCAGATGCAATGGATTCCTCCTTAAATGAGTTAGTGTCGATATTTATTCGGAGATTATGACAAAGATGAATGTTTTTGTGGAATTCAAAACTAAAGAAACATGCAACATGAAAGTTGGTTCCCAGAGACCCAAAGGCATTTTTACATACTATTTTCAATACATCTACTGATAAATCCTTAGGAAGCAGAAAAATGTATGAAATATCTCTAAATATTCAAGTATTTAAACATTAAGCTTTTTAATTAATACATACCTGAAGTATATGTTCATATTAATCTTAGGGAGCAGGAATATGTGTTTAACATTTTGATTCTTATGATTTCCCTTCTCTTTCTCACTCTCTACCCTCCCTCTGGCTCTAGTTCCCCTTTCCCTTTTTCATCATCATCATTGGTATTATTATCACTATTTAGGTCATGTTTGCGACATACACATTGCATTCATTGTGGGGAGTGGTATGTGCTATCGAATCTTTTTACATCTCCTTCTTCCCATCCTTGGTCTCCTGATCCCCTGTCATTTGCCAAAGAGCTATCTGTTTGTGTCCTCAAATATGTTCACTAACAGATGAAGAAAATATTGTATCTCTACTTAATGGTATATTACTATAAAGGATAAATTCAAGACCTTTATAGGAAAATGGAAATACCTTGAAAACATGTTAAGTGAATTAAATCAAACAAGCTTAAGTGCTTTTAAAATGGAGAAATTTTCTGAAAACATATATAACAACTTTGTCAAAATGGGATGAAATGAGCTTGTGACAATGTCAATTGATTCCAAATTATATCAAACATTTTACATTTCCAAAGAAACAAGTATATATTTCAATAAATACTGAATACTTCTAGTTTAACAATATCCTACAACCTTTGGACCAAGTAATACTGAATATTTTAAGAAATAAATATAGTACCAATTAAATTACATTTGTAAAAATTGAAGGAGAGATTCTGGGCATTTATCACGAAACCACAGTGATGTTAATTTTGCTAAATTTGCATTCATTAAACAGAAAAAATAACAAAATCATGTACTGAGAGTATAGAGCACAATTTGGTGCTTTTTATATTGTGAAATTACATTTTTCCTTGGTAGCATTTGCATCATCTAACATAATTACCTTTTGGTTATATGGAGAAAACACTAAAAGCAACTTTTAGCAAACTGTTTTCCTATGTAGCACTGTATTAATTACTGTAGTCACCAAGGAATCTACACCATTTTGTACTCTTACAAAGAAATTGTGCTTTCTCATTAACATCTCTCAGCTTCCCCACCCACACACGTTAGAACCATCACTAAATTCTCTGCTTCGCAAAACTGTCAATTTAAGATGTTAATAACAAATATGAAGCCAGACATGGTGGCACATGTCTATAATCCCAACACTCAGGAAGCTGAGCCAGGAGGTTTGGCACAAGTTCTGGGCCAGCCTGGGCTATACAGTGAGTTCATGGTCAGCCTGAACTACAGAGCAAAACTCTATCTCAAAAACAAAACAAAAAAATCAGGTTTTAATTTGTCTATGTGTGGCATATTTCACATAATGACCTCTTGGTTAATCTACATTGTCACAAATGAAGTGTTTTAAGACTCAATAAAATCTGATTATACGAACTTCACTTTACCCATACAAATAAGGTGATGGTTTGCAGGTAAAATGTCCCTTAAAGGCCATGTATTAAAAACTTAGATGCAAGATGACTGGTTATTCTGAATTAACATTATTATGCATTTTCCAACCACGTCGGCGATTCAGTCTATAGATATACTGGAGGGAGACGGTCTCTGCTCCAGTGGTTTGAAACAGTGTATCTCATTCCTAACATATCTGTCACTCTGATTCTTATATTTGGTATTTACACTAAATGTAATTTTGAATTTGTGCATGTTTTCTCATGCTATGCGAGACATAAAAATTTCACATATTATTTACATAGGCTTTCATTTCAATGGGAGTTCTTTTATGTTTTTCAAGCTACCTAGAAAAACGGAAGTTTCCCACATTTACTGCACACACATATGGCTTCCCTTTCATGTGGGAATTCTTTCCTGAAGTTGAGTGCACTGAGAAAAATAAAACATTTCCCACATAGTTCAGATTCTCTGTTCTATGAATTCTTTCAGGTATGTAATAATACATGTATACTGAATGATTTTTTATATTACATACAAAGAAAGGGCTTCTCTGCACTGTATTTCCATGTCAGTAAAGCCACGTTATATATTCAAAGTTAATTTCCTCTCAAATTTTTTAATGTCTATGTTGAGTACTGGAGTAACTGAAAGGCTTTTCCATGTTGCTTACACACATAGGGTTTCTACACTGTGTGATACCTTCCATGCCTTTGACAATTCCTGTGCGTGCTGAAAGTTTTGCCACATTGCTTGCATGCATAGAGTTTCTCCACAGTGTGAGTCCTTTCGTGATTTTGACAATTATCGCGTGTGGTAAAAGCTTTCCCACATTGCTTACATACATAGGGTTTCTCCCCAGTGTGAGTCCTTTCATGTTTTTGACAATTATTGCGTGCACTAAAAGCTTTC